ACCAACTATAAAATCTGGTTTTGCAACATTAAAATGAGAATGCACATTTGTAACTAATTTATTTATTACACAAACTGGGTATGAAACCTGTCAAAAATGTACAATGCATAATGTAAATAAGTTCAGAAAAACTTAGATTTTTTTTTTTAGTATATTTGTTTGATTTCTGCATTAAAATTATGTGTAAACTTAAATATGTTTGGAATGCCTTACTTGGCCTTGTCTGTGCCTTTTTCTCTTGAGTATTTGCAAGCAAGTTATTTATATTTTAGCATCTATGGAGTGGTGCTAGCTCAATTATTTCAGACATTCTAACCTCTGCTAAAAATTATTTTTATGGGTTTTTTTAAATCACAGGAAGAATCTCTGGAATAATCTGGTTAGAATAGACTACAAACACTCTTGTCGTCATTATCTTCTATTTTATTAATTCGTTTCAGATGGAAAGGTAGAGTTTTGTTTAGGAAGTATCCAGCTCATGTGTGTCATGTTTTATTTTTTGTCAGATTCAAGGTGAAAAATTTTTCCATTCCAAACTCTTTGAAGAATATTTCATTTTCAAAAACAGAGAATTAAACTCAGATTTTACTTTCTTGAAAATGCAGATGCAATGCTTCTAATAAGGGGTGCTCAGGACTAGCTGTTGATAACCTAATGATCTCGTGGTTCATGCACTCTACTTGCATGTTTCAGTGTTGTCTTGTGCGCAGCTCAGAATGTATCATGTTTAATACTTGTGTTTCAGAATTAAATCAAGTTTTCTGTGTTCTCTTGTTTATTGCACACAGCATAGGATCAATTTATGTTACATTATTCTGTCAATGCTTATTGAGTGCTGTGTACTTTTTGAGACAGGTAGTCCAGTAGCGTGGTGCTATATCATCACTAGAAATTCAGCAGAGGAATCTGAGGAGCAGAGATAGATCCAAGTAGTCCAAAATATTCCCAGTTCTCAGGAGAAGAGCTGGATTTATTTTGAGATTTGCACTGCCAGGTTTGATTTTTCAAGTATGATAATATAGACGTGCTGCTATGACATACAGTTCTATGACTTTGTGTTCTTCATCTGGGTAGTGTATATGTTGTGTTTTGGTTTCAGTGTTTATTATTGAAGGCAAAAACACTGCTTTTAAAAAGGGCTCTTCAAGTGACAGCACACTTAACATTTTCAACCACTTTACAGTATTTTAGTTACCTGAAAAATAAATCTGTTCACTCTGCTTTAAAAACAATGATGATATCCAGGATCAAGCACACGGTAAGAGTTCATTACTGTAATAAAAACACAATTGTATTGCACATGCAGCGTGTTACAGTGACACTACATTATACTCTTAGTGTAGACCTAACTGTGCTAGCAGCATGGCAGTAGGGCAGTTCAACCTTCTGCTTTAAACTGGTGAAGACTTGTTGGTAAATGCACGCTTTTGCTAGCAGTACCTCTTCTGCCAGGGCTCACACCTCCTCTCCTGCCTGGCTGACAACCACACCAAGAGAAAATTGTGATCCTGACTTAGTAAGAAGTTTTCTTCTAAAACTAATTTGTTAGAATTTCAAGGTGTCAGTCTATATTCTTGCTAATGAATGATGATATTGCTTCTACACAAATGTTGGTTATTTAACATGCAAAACTGGGACTGTTCTTCAGGCCATTTGTCAGTTAGGAGATCTCTTTTATTTAAATGTATCTCCTTGTATAAAGAAAAAAGGTTACTCACAACCATAATTAATACCCAAAATCTAATTTATTGATAATACACAAAAATCCCCTGGTGGAAACAGATGGACTTTTCTTCCCTTTAACAGCAGAGATTGTGTTTCTCAAGATTTGTTGAGAAGATTCTCTGGGACTCAATTTTCAGGTTCTGTCTGCTCTGTATTGAAGCATATCTCTCTGGTCTTCTTGCCTGCTTTTTTATTGGTTGCTTTCTTACAACTTAGGATAATAATATAACGCTTCTAATTAGTCATATTTAAATTGCTTGGTTCTCAACCTCTCTCCAGCCAGTAAAAACTGGTTTTCAGCTAGTTTTTCTGAGTGAATTCATCCCTTCGTTAGAACTGAAAAGAAAAAAGGTTGGTCTTTTTTTTATTTATTATGTCTAGTTTAACACAACTTGTTAGACAGCACCTGAATGTGCATGTTTCTTCCTTCTTGCTGACATTTTTAATGTGTTTGGTTTTAAACAAGGGTTCAGCATTTCAATGGTAAATCATTGGTTCCTTTTGCTTTTTGTATAGGCCACCAAGTAGTTTAGAAGAGTTGTATGACAAGGCAGGTTGTGCAATATATACATGCTACCGTGTGCAAAATAAAACCAGCATGTTTATATATAATACACTCCCTATGTGTGTAATACTCCCCCCGAAAGTTAGATAAGTTTGAGGCTCTCCAGCAGGTTTGCTGCTGCCATGTTACACATTGCCTCTCAGAAGGCATCTCTCTGTAGCTTAATCAAGTAACTAATGTTACTTCTTCAGTTCCTCTTAATCTCATCCTCTCACTGGAATTTTGTGTGACATGCTGACCTTCCAGACAGAACAGTTCTCTTTCTTTTTTTAAGCAGTTTTCGGGGCACACACTGAACTGTGTGGTGTTACCATTTGGTAATGGGGATAGCTAAAGTATTTTTATTTCATATGGGTAACGTCATGAACCCCAACAAAGACAAACAACCAGGACCTGCACTGTAGAAACAGCACATGGAGAACATTAG